TGGATGTCTTCTATAATGTAACCTATATGGCAAATTTATAAATTCCACTATCCCTCAGGGTGGTGAAGAAAGATCAGAGGAATCCATAGTCACCCTCTCAGAAAGGCCTCTCCTTCCTCCTTTATGAGGTTACCTTCACCGATCTTTTTCAATGTGAAATCTAAACATATATTTAGCCCCAGTAAATATTTAAATGTTCCCAAAGCAGTATAGTGCTAGAGGATCAGGAGGTATGCTATCATGTAGCACAAAAATAAAAGAAGGAACATTGCCTCAACATTTATACTTTCAAAGAATATTGGTTCACATGGACATTCTCTTATTGCTTATCTCTGTTGATCTTCCCATTTTCTCTCATCTATTTAGGGTATCTATCCCCTTCATGAGGACATTTCATACCATCCCTCTCAATAGAAAAAAAGATGTCCCACCTGGAATCTAATTTCTCACCTACCAGCACCATAATTTTTCCTAGATTTTAACTGGCTTCACTATGGATACATATGAGTTTTGGCCTTATAGTTAGAGATGGAGATGGAAACTCTTCAATCACCTTTAGTCTTTCGCCACCAACAATGACTGTGACTTATTTTTCATACTGGATTACGTAGAGACAACTACATTTTACTTTTATTACCTGTTGCTTCCTGCATCAATTTCACAGCCACTTTGTTATTACTCCACATAGATTCCCAATGTGTAATTCTGACTCTACTTCTCAATTTCCATAACTATCTCATTCCTAGATCTTTTTAAGGACTTCATCTCTTTGGTGAATCTTGGCTCCTTGAATAGTCATGTGATCACAGCTTCACTTGCAGCTGTATTTTATGAAATATTTCTTTTTCCAACAGAAGCCCTAAGGAGTTATCTGGATGGAAAAAATGTTTTGTGCTTGACTACTAACCTAACCTCCATTTCAGGAGCTGGCATATGATCAAGGACCAATGGTATTGAAGGAAGAAGTCAAAGCTGCACTGAAGGAAGTGGCAAAAAACAAGGCTCCAGGAGTTGATGGAATACCTGTTGAGATGTTTCAACAAATGAATGCCACACTGGAGGCACTCACTCAGCTATGCCAAGAGATTTGGAAGACAGCTACCTGGCCAACTGACTGGAAGAGATCCATATTTGTACCCACTCCAAAAAAAGGTGATCCCACAGATTGTGGAAATTATCATTAATATCACACACAAAGTAAAATCTTACTGAATATAATTCAAAAACAGTGCAGCAGTATATTGACAGAGGACTTCTAAAAATGCAAACTGGATTCAGAAGAGGACATGGAATGAGGGATATCATTGCTAATGTCAGATGGATCTTGGCTCAAAGCAAAGGATACCAGAAAGATGTTTACTTGTGTTTTATTGACTATGCAAAAGCATTCAATTGTGTGAATCATAACTAATGGTGGATAACATTGAGAACAATGGGAATTCCAGAACACTTAACAGTTCTCATGAGGAACCTGTACGTACACCAGGAGGCTGTCATTCAAACAGAGCAAGGGGACACTGCTTGGTTTAAAATCAAGGGCTTGCGCCAGGGTTGTGTCCTTTCACCATAATTACCCAATTTCTATTCTGAGAAAATAATCTGAGAAGCTGGACTATATGAAGAAGAAGTGGCATCAGGATTGGAGGAAGAATCATTAGCAATCTGCATTATGCTGATGACACAACTTTGTTTGCTGAGAGTGAGGATGACTTGAAACTCTTACTGATGATGATTGAAGATTACAGTTTGCAGTATGGATTACACGTCAATATAAAGAAAACAAAAATCTTCACAGCTGGACCAATAAGCAGCATCATGATAATTGGAAAAAAAAAAATATTGACGTTGTCAAAAACTTCATATTACTTGGTTCTACAATCAACTCCAATGGAAGCAGGAGTCAAGACATCAGAGGACGTATAGTACCAGGCAAATCTTCTGCAAAAGACCTCTTTCAAGTTCTGAAAAGCAAAGATATCTCCTTGAGGACTAAGGTGTGCTTGACACAAGGTGTGATATTTCAATTGCCTCATATGCATGTGAGAGTTGGACATGAATAAGGAAGACAAAGAAGAGTCAATGTTTTTGAGCTGTGGTGCTGACGAAGAATACTGAAAGTACCATGAACTCCTACAAGAACTAACAAATCTGTCCTGGAAAAAATGCAGCCAGAATTCTCTTTGGAAGCAAGAATGACCAGACTTCGTCTCACCTACTTTGGTCATGCTGTAAGAAGAGAATATTCCGTGGAGTTGGATATCATGCTTGGTAAAGTGGGCGGTCAACAAAAGAGGGGAAGGCCCTCAACAAGATGGATTGGCACAGTGACCACAATGATGGGCTCAGGTATAGCCAGGATCATGCAGTTGGCAGATGACCAGTTCATGTTTCGTTCGCTGTACTTAGGGTTGCTATGAGGCAGAGATGACTGTATGCACCTAACAACACTAACCTCAAAGTTGGTGGTTTGAACCTACCCAATGGCATATTACAAAAGGAACTGACAATTTGCTTCTCTACAGATTATAGCCAGGAAAATCCTATGGAGCAATTCTGCTCTGTAACACAGCAGTAACCATGAGTCAGAATTGACAAAAACAGCAATGGGTTTTGTTTGTTGTTTGTTTTTAATACCCAGGTCTTCCCAAAGGAAGAGAATGATTCTGATAAAAAGTAAATTGCATTCATTTTAGAACTATTCACAATAGCCAAAATGTAGAAACAACCTAAATGTCTATCAGTGGATGAAGGGATAAACAAAATTTAGGACATATATACAATGGAATACTAACAAGCCATAAAGAGAAATGAAGTCCTGATACATGGTACAACTTTGATGAGTTTTGAACATATTTTGCTGAGTTAAAAAAGTCAATCACAAAAGGATAAATTATATGATCTTACTTATAGGCAATAACAAAAATGGGTAAATGTGTAGAGACCGAAGCTGATCTTTATTGTTTGTTGTAAGGTGCCATAGATGCAGTTCTGACTCATAGTGACCCTATGTACAAAGGAATGAAACACTGACTTCCTGTCACTGTACCATTCTCACAATCATTACTATGGTTGATTGAGCCCATCATTGTAGCCACTGTGTCAAATCATCTCTTTGAGGGTCTTCCTCTTTTTTTCTGACCTCTGCTAAAGTTTATTAGTGGTTACTAATAAATGGGGATGGGAGGGAGGCATAAAGGTGAAATAATTATTTAAGAAGTGAGTTTCTGTTATGGTGATGGGAAATTTGGTAATGATGTAGATAATAGTTTCACAATATGATTAATATAATCAATGTCATTAAATTGTACACCTGAAAAATGTTAAATTGGAAAATAGTGTGCTATATATATTTTACAACAATATTTAGAAATGAATTAGATTGCTAGATTATAAACAACTGAAGCCTAAGTATATTTTTTGAAACAGACTTAAGAAATTTAGGGGAAGGAGTTAAGAAAGATTTAGAGAAAAAGAAAACACTGTAAACTAAACTATTTTCTGGCTTTTTTTTTTTTTTTTAAGTACAAATAGTATTGACTTCCAAAGCTGTTCAGGGGATCAGAATCCTTTGGGGGCATTTATATAAGACAACCTTCTTATTGATTTGTACTAATATAAAATCATATTATTTGGTCAATCCACTTTGGAATGACTGAGAATTTCATTTAATGAAAATGAGGCATGAGTTTTCATTAGAGGAAGAAACTTTTTTCACAGAAGTAAAAGTTTATAAAAAATATTTGCTCATTTTATTAGCTTAAATTCAATTTACATTTTTAATTAGAGATAAATGAAAAAACTACCCTCCTTCAGTTCCATTTCTCTTCACCTGCATTTCATTCCTTCCCAGTCTTTAGTTCTAACAGGAGAAAAAGTTAAAGTACATGCTATCACTCAAGGGAGGTAGGAGGAGAAGGAATGAGAAGGTATTTGTGGTTCCTGTCAGTTACTGTGCTAACCTGTGTTAATACAACCTACTGTCCTTGAGTCAAATCCAAATCATGGCGACCCTTTCTTGAGTTTCCAAGGCAGTATCACTACAGAAGTAGATTGCTCAACTTTCCTTCCAAGGAGTGGCTAGTGGGTTTGAACCATCAGCCTTCTGGTTAGCAGTCAAATGCCAGTAAAATCCAAACCTTGTTTCTCAAAGAACTCATAATATATCTAGGAAAATAGACATCTATATAAACATAAAAAAGAAAAAAAAAAACCAAAAAACCTCACTACCATCAAGGCAATTCAACTCATAGCAACCCCTTCTTGGATTTCTGAGACAGTCTCACTACAGAAGCAGAATGCCCAATCTTCCTTCTGAGGAGTGGTTCATGGGTTTGAACCGCCAGCCCTCTGGTTAGCAGTCAAATGCCTTAAGCACTACTCCACCACAATATAATCATTATTCAGCATGGCAAATATTCTTACAGAATGCTATAGAAGAATAAGTAAGGGAACAATCAATTTCACATGAAGAGGTTTAGAAAGGTGTTACACAAACTAAATTATAATTGATGAAGAAATGTGGAGGGTAGTTCGTGGTAGAGGATATTTTGGCCAACCACTGCTCAGGGCTGGCTTTTGGACTTGAAGTACAACTGATCTTAGAAAGAGCCATCCATCAAGACACTGTCTGCGACGGAAGGCAAAAGCAGAGTCTGAGGGAGGCTGTCAGCAGACATTCTAAATGAGGCGTGCCAATCCAGTCTTGGCCAAGTGTCAAGATCAGATAGTTAACAATGTCACATGCAGAGTTGTAACATCGCAGCCATTTCATCTGAAAACAAAAGAAACAGAAGAGAAACAGCAGTAAATCTTTATGGAAGCAGACTCCCTCATCTTTCTCCTATGGAGTAGCTGGTGGGTGAGAACCACCAACCTTTTGGTTGACAGCAAAATGCTTTAATCACTGTGCAACCAGAGCTCCTTAACTAAGGAATAGCTTAGAATTTTTCACAAGATACCAGTACTTGATGAGAGGAGCAGAAATGGAAAACATTACCTACTTACTGAAGAGGCAAATCCTCTAAGAAGTCATCTGTGATCCTCAACATCTGCCTCAGCACAGAGAGGATCACAACATCCTTTAAGGGCTTCATCTCCCGCTCTGAGGCATAATTGTCCACCATCAAGATGTTAGGAATAGGAATTGTTAGCTTTTTGCTGACACATATTATCTGTGGGAAAATATATTTAATAACCATAAAATCCTGTATTTGAAATTTGACTGAATTTAAACACAATCCAAGAAAGAAACTAAAAATGCAATGGCTTAATAAACTATCTTCAGAATATAATTAGAATTCAGATCATTATCATTCTAAAGTGAGGTACAAACTTGAATCTATCAAGCTATTGAACAAATTCTTCATTAACCAATGAATATATGTATGGGTACCACACATACACACATAGTATGATTGTGATAATATTATAATAATATCTGATTAGAAACAATATTCTTTACCTGGCTTTGATAAGCAGTAGATCTATTCATGTTTAGAAAGTCATCTTGAAGAATTTCATCCCAATTGTTAACTTTAGTAAGTAAAACCACATATCCTATACCTATATCAAATAGATAAATCAGTCATTTTATATCATAAACAGCAATATTTTAACAGGTTGATAAATTATGTATGAAAGATGCTTACTGTACAGTGATTTTCAGATTCAGGGAGTGAAATAGCTCCAATAAATACAGGGCCTGAAATTCTTCCCATAATAGAGCTGATCTTTTTCTTCCATCATAAGATATGAATTCAAAGTGCAATTATATTCACACTAAGTAGCAATTATAAACTCTTACTAAATAAACGTGTTTTACAGTTGTCGGGGAAAAAAGGTAGGCTCGAGACTAAAAAGAACCCCAAGAAAGAGAGGCAGGAAACAGGTTGGGCATGAGAATTTATAAAAGCAGTGATTTCATAGCATTACTAAGGACTTTCTGCTTTCTCTCCAAAACCAAGGAGACCAGATGAGTGAATTACTTGTCAATGGAAGCCAAATGGAAATTTGAAATTGCTACCGCCATTCACTCAGCTATAATGTGGCTCCTTACTGTCATGGAGTCCATGGAGGGCAAGTGATGAGCAGTAACACAAGAGCCCTTCCACTCAATAGTGTCAAACAAAGTGTAGTAGGGAACTTGTCCTTTCACCCTACTTCTGTCTGTAATGAGATATAAAACCCTTGCCCTCACCAGTGCAGTGTTAGAGGAGGCCTGCTCAAACAAAGATTTAAGTAAGATTCAATGACTCTTAACATAATACCCGAAATATCCAAGATACAATCAGGAATCAATTTTCTAGGCTACAGCTGTCAAACTACATAATTACAAATACACATCTCATGGGAATAGTTTTCTTGATACAAGGGTTTAGTGGATAGTTTCATGGAGCTATTAGTCAAATGGACTAATGCTGCACTTAGAGTTTCTGCTCTACCTTCTAGCTTAGTGAGTAGAGAGTGCCTGGAGTCATAGAACCTTATAAGCAGCCACTCAAGATACAACAATTTGTCTCTATCCATATGGAGCAACAGAGGTGACCCAGGAATGAGAGAAGGAAATGGACTGCAGAACTAATTGCCTTCATTAACCACTATCTCCTTTGTCATGAGACAAGAAGAAATGGATGGTGCCTGACTACTATTACTGTATGTGGACATAGTAGCTGGATCTTGAACAAAAGGAACAAAAATGTAGAACAGAATTTCAAATTTTTACTGAAGGAATAGTAAGATGATACAGACTGGATGAACCCCTGAATGTATTGCCTGGAAAGACTTTTAAGCCTTGACCTGCAACTACCCTATGAAGATGTCTTTAAACTAAATGATTTAGCTCATTAATAAAGAATGTTTGCCTTGAGCATTGTGCTATTTTAAAGAAATATCTACATGACATTAAATAGACAACAGTAACGCCAAAACACAGATAAGAACTTTAAGGGGCAGATAGTCTAGGGTAAGGGTAGTGAAACAATATGGGCATAGAGAGTGAGAATACTAACAAAATGTGAAGTATGTAATAATTGTCATGAACTATATATATATAAATTATTGAACGAGGGTATGTTTTGGTATGTATATTAAACTTTTTTTAAAGAATTGTCATATTCAAAACCAGGAAAATCTCAATGCAAATGAGAAAAGGCAATCAACCAATGCCAATACTGATTATATGACAAAAAATGTTAGAATTATTTGACAAGAATTTTAAAGCAACCATTATAAAAATGCTTAACATCCAAGCAGGGACATCCTTGTAAGTAAAGATAAAGTAGAAAGCCAAGAAATAGAAGATATGAAAAAGAACCAAATGGAAATTCTAGAATTAAAAATACAATAACCCAAAACAAAAAAAAAAAAACTTAATGGACTCAACAGAAGAGTGGAAAGAATTAGTGAATCTGAAGCTATAACAATAGAAATTACACATTGAACAATAGAGAACGAATAGAAAAATAAATAAATAATCCAAGAACCTGTGCCACTCTAGCAAAATATCTAGAATGCATGATTCCAGAGTTCCAGAAGGAAAGAAGAAAATGAGTGGGGCTGAAAACGCATTTGAAGAAATCATGGCTAGAATTTCCTCGTATTTGGAAAAAGACATAAACATACAGATTCAAGAGGTTGAGCTAACCTCAAAAAGAACAAAACAAAGAAATCCATTCCAAGATATCATAAGCAAATTCTGAAAACTAAAAATAAAACAAACAGACAAAAAGTCAACAGCAAAAAGACAATATCTTATCCACAGTGGAAAAAATTCTAATGACAGTGGAAACCAGAGAAACCTGAAGAAAGTGACAAGCATGTTTCAAGCACGAAAAGAAAATAATAAATAAATAATTTCAATCTATAACTCTATGTTCAGCAATACTATCAATTATGAAAGAAAGAGAAATAAAGACATACTCAGATAACAGAAAACTATGAAAACTCCTCTAAAGGAAGCTCTTGAAACAATAAGAACACTATGAAAAAAAAAAAAGCGGGGGAGTTATCTTAGACTATCAGGAAGGCAGAAAGAACAAAAGAAAAAAAACTATTTCTAGATAATAATAAATAATAAATTGTTGCTGTTGTTATGTGCCGTCAAGTCAGCCGTGACTCATAGCGACCCCTCCTTGGGTTTCCGAGGCAGTATCACTACGGAAGTAGGATTGCCCAATCTTCCTTCCGAGGAGTGGCTGGTGGGGTTGAACCGCCAGCCGTCTGGTGAGCAGGCAAGTGCCTTAGCCACTATGCTACCAGAGCTCCCACAAATAATAAATAGACTCTCATTTTCTTCTTGAGAAGCTCTGGTGGCCAGAGCCTAAGACATTTGACTGCTAACCAGAAGGCTGGCTGTTCAAACCCACAAGCCACTCCTCCGAAGGAAGGCTGGCCAATCTACTTCCATAGTGATACTGCCTCAGAAATCTAAGGAGGGATTGCTGTGAGTCAGATCTGACTCGACTGCAATGAGTTTGGTTTGGTTTTTGGTTTTTCTTCTTGAATTGAAGCAAAAAGTATAAGAATGGCTTAATATGGCTCTCAGTGTATGTACAGAAAATATTTGAGTCAATTATGCTATTAAAAAGCAGAAAGTTAAGAAATTTAAAGGTAAGGTAAGTTTTCTACCCTTCAGTCAACATAGTCAAATGTTGATATGAATAGACTGTGATAAGTTATGTATACAAAATGTAATACCAAGAGTAACTACTATAAAAACCTATAGAAGGAAATAAGTGCAAAAACATAGATAGATGAAAATAGATTTTTTTAAAAAATCTATAGAAAGGCAAGAAAAATAAAACAAAGTAATAAAAAACAAAGGACAAAAAATAAAATGTCAGGTTAAGCACAAAGGTATTAATGTTTGACATGTGGTTGTTGTTGTTGTTATGTGCTGTAGAGTCAGACCCGACTCATAGCGACCCCTCCTTGGGTTTCC